GAGGAAAATAGATATTAACTCTTCTTTAAATGTCTGGTAGAATTCACTTGTGAATCTATCTGTTCCTGAACTTTTATTTTTTGGTAGTTTTTTTTATTGCCAGTTCATTTTCATTACTTATAATAGGTCTGTTAAATTTTCTATTTCTTCCTGGTTCATTTTTGGAAGATTGTATGTTTCTAGGAATTTATCCACTTCTTCTATTGTCTCGTTTGTTGGCATATAATTTTTCATAGTATTCTCCTGTACTCCTTTGTATTTCTGTGATGTCAGTTGTTACTTCTCCTCCTTATCTCTGATTTTATTTATTTGGGTCATTTCCCTTTTTTTCTTAATGAATGTGGCTAAGGGTTTGTCGATTTTGTTTTCAGAGAACCAGCTCGTGTTTTCATTGATCATTTTATTTATTTTTTAGTCTCTATGTCATTTATTTCTGCTCTGGGTCTTTATTATTTATTTTCTTCTATTCACTTTGGGCTTTGTTCTTATTCTAGTTCCTTTAGGTGTAAGATTAGGTTGTTTATTTGTTGTTTTTTTCTTATTTCTTGAAGCAGGGCTGTATTGCTTTATACTTCCCTCTTGGAACTGTTTTGGCCTGGTCACAGAGATTTGGGACCATTGTACTTTCATTTTCATTTCTCTCCATGTATTTTTTTTAATTTTCTATTCTTTGATTGCTTCATTGATATGTTTGTTGTTTAGTATCCTCTTGTTTAGTCTCCACATGTTTGTGTTTTTTCCACTGTGGTCAGAAAAGATGCATGGTATGATACCAGTCTTCTTAAATTTATTGAGGCTTGTTTTATGGCCTAGTATGTGGATGTGTTCTGGAGAATGTTTCATGTGCACTTGAAAAGAATGTGTATTCTGTTGTTTCTGGGTGGAATATTCTGTATATATCTGTTATGTCCATCTGGTCCAGTGTGTCATTCAAAGACATTGTTTCCTTATTGATTTTATCTGGATGATCTATCCATCCATTGATGTAAGTGAAGTGTTAAAGTTCCCTAGTATTATTGTATTACCATCAATTTCTCTCTTTATGTCCATCAATATTTGTTTTTTGTATTTAGGTGCTCCAGTATTGGGTGTATAGATATTTACAAATGTTATATCCTCTTGTTAAATTGATCCACTTATCATTATATTATGCCCTTCTTTGTCTCATTAGTCTTTGTTTTAAAGTCTGTTTTGTCTGATGTAAGTATTTCTAACCTGCCTTTTTTTTTTTTTTCACTTCCATTTGCATGGCGAATGCTTTTCCTTCCCTTTCACTTTCAGACTATATGTGTCTTTAGGTCTGAGGTGAGTTTCTTGTAGGCACCATATAGATGGGTCTTGGTTTTTTTTTATCCGTTCTGCCACTCTATGTCTTTTGATTAGAGCATTTGCGCCATTTACATTTAAAGTAATTATTTTTTATTTATTTAAATTCAATTATCCAACATATAGTACATCATGAGTTTCAGATGTAGAGTTCAGTAATTTATCAGTTGCATGTAACACCCAGTGTTCATCACATCACATGCCCTCCTTAATGACCATCACCCAGTTACCCCATCCCCCCAGCCACCTCCCCTCCAGCAACCCTCAGTTTGTTTCCTATAGTTAAGAGTCTCTCATGGCTTGTCTCCCTTTCTGATTTCTTCCCATTCAGTTTTCCCTCCCTTTCCTTATGGATTCTCTGCACTGTTTCTTATATCCCACATATGAGTGAACCATATGATAATTGTCTTTCTCTGATTGACTTATTTCATTCAGCATAATAACCTCCAGTTCTATCCACGTCAGTGTAAATGGTAAGATTTCATCCTTTCTGATGGCTGAGTAATATTCCATTGTATATATATACCACACCTGCTTTATCCATTCCTCTGTCAATGGACATCTGGGCTCAATTTAAAGTAATTATTGATAGGTATATTCTTATTGCTGTTTTAAAATTTTGTTTTCTGGTTGTTTTTGTAGTTCTTTGTTCCTTTCTTCTTCTCTAGATCTCTTTCTTTGCAATCGATGGATATCTATAGTGTTTTGTTTGGCTTTATTTCTCTATTTTTTGTGTATCTACCATAGGTTTTGGGTTTGTGATTTTTCATGAGGTTCATATATAACATCCTAAGTTAATAGCAGTCCATATTCATTTTATGGTCATTTAAGTTCAAACACATTGAAAGAAGGAAGGAAAGAAGAGGGAAGGAAGGAAGGAAGGAAAGAAAGAATATATGTTGTTATATTTTATATCTTTTTATACATATTTTTCTTATGTCTAATTATGGCCATTTCTTTTCCACTTAAAGAAGTTCCCTTCACATTTCTTGTAAGGCTAGTAAAGTGGTGATAAATTCCTTTATATTTTGTTTGTCTGGGAATTTCTTTATCTCTCTTTCAAATCTGAATGATAACCTTGCCAGATAGAGTATTCTTATTTATAGGTTGTTTTTTTTTTTTCCCCTTCAGCACTTTGAATATATCATATATATCACTCTCTTCTGGCTTGCAAAGTTTCTGTTGGAAAATTAGCAGATAATCTTACAGGTTTTCCCTTGTAAGTAACTCTTTGTTTCTCTCTTGTTTTTAAGATACTCTCTTTATCTTTAACCTTTGACATTTCAATCATTATGTGCCATGGCATGGACCTCCTTGGGTTCATCTTGTTTGGAACTCTCTGTTCTTCTTGGACTTAGGTATCTATTTCCCTCCTAGGTTAGGGAAGTATTCAGTTATTATTTCTATCTGTTTTCTACACCTTTCTCTTTTTTTCAAGGATCACTATAATATGAATATTTGTTCACAGGATGTTGTCCAAGAGATCTCTTAGTCTATCCCCATGGTTTAAAATTATTTTCTCTTTTTGATCTTAAGCTTGTATGCTTTTCATTATCCTTTCCTTCAGATCACTCATCTGTTCTGTATCCTCTCATCTACTGTTGATTCCCTCTAGTGTGTTTTTTATTTCAGTTATTGTATTCTTCAACTTTTCTTGGTTCTTTTTAATATTTTCTGTTTCTTTATTGAAGGTCTCACTGAGCTCTTCCATTCTTTTCTCTAGCCCAGTGGGCATGATTATGATCATTACTTTAAATTCTTTATCAGGCAGATTGCTTATATCTGTTTCATTTAGTTCTTTTCTGAGGTTTTTTCTTGTTCTTTCTTTTGGAGCATATTCCTGTTTCCCCATTTTGCTTGACTTCCTGTTGTTTCTATGGATTAGATGAAACAGCTACTTGTCCTGAAGTTGAAGGAGTGGTCTTGTGTATGGTGTCCCCTATGCAGACTCTGCGCTGTGCTTTTGTTGGCTAGCTGTATGTGCTAGTTATTTTCTAATAAAATTAAATATTAGAAAAAATTAATTAGAAAAAATTAAATAAAGAAAAAAATAATATAAAAGACAAAAGAAAATAATGAAATAAAAGAAGAAAAGAAAAAAGAAAAGGAAAAAAGAAGAAAAGAAAAAAGAGAAGAAAGAACAAAATCAAAAAGAATAAAATTAAAACAAGACAGGACAAATTTTAAAATGTAAAAAAAAAAATTAGAATAATTAAAAGTTAAAAAAACAAAACACAAAACCATGGCTGGCCTGTTTTCTCTGCCCCAGTCACAGGGTGACTGGTGTAGGCTGGTGGACCCTGGGCTCACTGAGACTACAAACTCCCTATGACAGCTAGACCCATCAGGACCTTCCTGGTATGCCATTAGGACCCTCCATTTGTGGTGTCTGAAACTTCTCCTCTTGACAGCCAAATCCTGCTCCAGCCTGGGCTTTTAAGGCGGAGGGGGAGAGAGCATCCTCACAGTTCCTCAGCCCTTTTAAACTCTGCCTTCTCTTTTCTGTGCCCCAGCTGACTAGGGCTGGTGTGGGCTTGCAGACCCTGGGCTCACTGGAGTTGCAAACTCACAGAGATAACTGGGCACTCCCATTATGGTGTCTGGATCCTGCTGCAGTCTAGGATTTTAAGGTGGGATGGGAATATAAACCGGCTTGTTCTCCAGTTCCTCAGACCTGGAGAGCTTTCTTGCAGCTCCTCTGCAGCCTGGCAGAGTTCTATTGTTGTCTGTTTTCTGTGCTAGTTGCTCTTTTAAACCATGTTTTGTTTTTTGTGTTTTTGTTTTGTTTTGTTTTTTGTTTTTTCTGTGCCCAAAGACAGAGGGGCCTGTTCCTGGTCCCTCAGTGCTATCCCTCCCTCCCCACTGCCATTTGCAGTGTTAGGAGCAGGAGTTCCCTTTGTTACCATCCATCTTTATTGCTGTTCTCTTGCCATTCTCTCTGTCTTTAGTTGTTCAGTAGCTAGTCAGTCAATTTTCAGTTCTTCGCAAGGATTTGTTCTATTAATAGGTGTAATTTGGTATGATCTGTGGAGGAGGTGATTTCAGAATCTTCCTACATCACCATCTTGAACCTGAACTCTATTATACCCATTTCCAAATGAGGGAATTGAATCACACATGTCAAAGCATAATTCTTAGCACTCAAATAGCTCATAATTTATTAGGTAGACAGACTAAATGAATCCAAGCCATTGTAGGTATCACCATGGAGGTCAGATGAGAACACAGACAAAAATGAGGTGAGGAGAAATGAGAACTGTCTTTTCATTTGACACTCACAATCTCCCTCTTGCATAAGGGGTGTTAAGTGAGTTACTCAGATCATATAGTGAGTAAGGGGTATCTATGGGCTTCTACCTCCTGACTTACTGCAGTGCCCAGCTAGCTCCCACTACTGCCCTTCTAACTTTCAATAAGCTGTTTAATTACTAAAGAAGTATATTAACACTTTCTCTAGTATTTGCCCTTTAAAATCAGACCCTCTGAAAAGTTATAGTTCTTTATTACAAACTAATGCATGGTTATGGGTGACGTGTCAGTGTCAGTTGTCAGCAACTCTTTAGCATGTCAGTGTGTGTTGGGAGTAGGAAGAGGTGGAAAGATGCTGGTAGCAGGGGAAAAAGGCCTGAAGAGAGTATGTACATGCCTTTCATATCAATGCATTTTTTTAATAGGATCTGGAGTCAGGATCTGAGGGTGGAGCAGATACCATTTCAGTAAATCAGACACAAATAAATTTGTCTTCTAACTCTGAATCTACCGACCTACCATCTTCCAGCCCAGTGGCCAGTTCTGGAACCAAACCCAAGTCTACGGTAAGTTATAAATGATAACAGTCTTTTAACATGAAATGCTGATAATCATAAGGTAAGAGTTGATATCTCATCCATTCAATATAGAAGAAATACTCCTTGAGTCTTAGTTTCAGTGACTTGATAGCATTTAATTAAGTACAATCCAACATATGTTGTTTGTTTGCTTTATAACCGATAACACAAGTACTTCACTAAAACAGGTCATGGTTCTAGAATTATGCAAAATATAGTATCAAATTTTGTTGTTGTACACTCAGATCTTTAAAGAACCAAGAGCAAAAAATCTAGAGATGGTTCTCCCTGAATTATTATCCTGACCACACCACTTACTAGTCAGAAAATCGCCTAAGACTAGATAGAGAGATAGAGATATATAAATTCACACACATCATAAATTTTATGTGGGTATTAAATGACATAGTTCATGTAAAGTACTTAGTGAAATGCTTGGCACAGAATAAATACTGAGTAAATGTAAGCTACCGTCATTATTATTATGATGCTTCATCAACTTTACAGTGCTACCAAAACAAATAAAAGGAGAATTACCACATGTAATAATATAGCAGGGTGTATTGTAAATAAAAGACATTTTCCTTTAAGTAAAAAGTTGAACGGCTACAGGAAAGCAGTATTTGACTGTAAAAGGTAACATTTATGGAGGAAGTAATTACTACTTCAAATATCTGAAGTCCCAGCAGCTCAAAAATAACCTTTCCTAGTTTAGTGAAAATCACAGTGGCGTATTATTTTTTTTAATGCCCATGTTAGCTTAACACAGAGAAACAAGTTTGGATTGCTTGTTTGCCTGACTTTAAAATAAAAGGCAAGTTTGAAATAAGACTCAAAAGAGAATACTCTGAATTTAACATGGTAGATATGTTCAATTGCAAGAATATCTAGAGCATTTTTTAATAGAATATTTATTGAATGCACTATGCTAGATGAAAGAGTGGGAGTGGAGTAAAACATATTTTCCATCTTTAAAGAGCTCACAATCTAGCAAAGCGGGGTAGGTAAGTAAACAGTGAAATGCAATATCATACTATATGGTAGAGCTAAAAAATTGGAAATAGGAACCAGTGATCTGCTACATAATGCTGTTGTTGGGTACAATGAAAAACAGGGTCAAAAATAATGTGTGTCAACAGGCAGCTGCAATGAATTGGTGCTCTTCTTTTTCATAATGGGTAAAGAAGGTTAAAATGCAAAATTTAAATATGGAACAAAATGATCTCACTTCACCACATTCTTACTGAAGTAAAAGGTCAAAGCCTCTCAATGGTTTTAAACTGAAGGTTTGGGAACCATTGGAGCATTGGCTCTTTGAACATTGGGACAGGTATGGGGCTGACTTATAAGAAAAAAGTAGAAAGGAAGGTGAATTCACTTTTTAAAGGTATTTATGCTTAAATTCTCTTTTTAAAGCACATGCTATTATCCTGAAGAGCAGTTCTTTTCTCTCTGATATTTATTCCACGCTCATCTTTTACTTTAGAGTAATTACCATTGGTATCTGCTATTTCTCCCTTGAAAGATACATATTTTAGTGTTTGATCACCTTATAATTTGTAACAATTTTTACAACTTTGTGTGCAATTCTGTCCCTTTTCTTCAGTACCCCCATGTTTATAAATGTGCTCATGTTTATAAATGCATTTCCACCGAGATATGTCTATATATATATAAAGTTTTAGAATGCGAAACATAAAACCATCAGTTTTGGGGGGACTTTAATCCTTTAAAATACTTGAAGATGGGTCTGTTTTCAAATTCTTCATGTTTGCCATATCAATTGACCAAACTATTCACCCCACAGGCAAAATTAAGAAATACTAAAATTGGGGCACCTGGGTGGCTCAGTTGGTTAAGCGTCTGGCTTTGGCTCAGGTCATGATCTCAGGGTCCTGGGATCCAGCCCCACATCAGGCTCCTTGTTCAGCAGGGAGCCTACTTCTCCCTCTTCCTCTGCACACACACCCCCAGCCCCCAGCTGGTGATCTTTCTCTCTCTCTCAAATAAATAAAATCTTTAAAAAAAGAAATACTAAAATCAGTTATTGAACAGAAACATACTTTTCCATGCCCCTAAAACAAATATTTACTGAAAAGTTGTCAACTTTGGATAAAACTGTGACTCTCTACCCAGCTGTTCAGGTGTGACTTGTTACCTGGGCGCACAGTCACAGCTTCGTAGTAATGCCACCCCTCATTAGTCAGTGAGCACTGGGAATCATTATGCAGTGGACTTCACCTCCAAACACAATATTCCACTTCAGGACAACCAAAAACTGCTTAACCCATCTTGACCAATACCACAGGCAGTTAGAGAACTGTACATGAAACTCTGTCCAGCTACTGAACTATAATTTAGTAAAATTCTCCAGCAGGCCATGAGAAGGACCCAGAAAGAAACACCCCACTGTCAAAGACAACTGACTTTTAGGAAATTTCTCAAAGAAAATGGCCAATAATTAAAATAGCTTGAAAAGCAAGTTTTTGTTTTGGGGGAAGGGTTGTTTTAATGTGTGTGTGTATTTAATTTTGTGTTATTATTGGTGTTGATGCTTTTGAGTACAATTCCTTTTTACTACAGTTTGAAAATAATTCTTTGGTCTTATGGGTCAGTTCTATGTTTTCAGTTGTTTCTGGGTAGGAATATTAGAATGAAGAATTTTACCTATTTTGTCAGAGAGTAAACAGATATTTACCCTGTCAATTTGGAGCTTGGGAAATTATCTATTTGTGTAATGGCAGTCTGGCTACTTTGTGAAAAGTGAGAAAGCTCCAGTATCCTACAGAGCCATTCTTTTCACCAGGAACTAAAATTCCAAATTTAATATTAAGCAGAAACATTAAATTCTAAGAACACCTACTTCTAACATCCACTCATAATGAACTAAACTTCTGCTCCATAATGTCATATGTTTACAAAATGTTTACTTTTATTTCAGACTTATTTAATGTTACATTTGATTTGCTGCTGTGAAATCTATTTATAATGGTGACTAACTATCACAAATATTTGGCTTTCCTTTTGTATGTAAGACCTCTGGGTTTCTACGTGCCTATTTTTTCTATAAGATTTCTTTTATATGTATTATTAGAACAGGACCAATGAGTAATCTTCAGATTTTTCATGAAGACTATGTATATATCATGCCAAAGAGTGAGCATTAAAGTAGATTTCTGTGATGTATTTCACACAAAAATGAAGAAGTCCAAAGGTAGGATACCCAGTACCTACCAAAAAACACATTAGAAAAAAGAGATCTAGTGTTTCATGTCCAAAAAATCACCAATTTCTCTCCCAAAATCTATGATTTTTTCTTTTGAAACAGTCTCATAATGCCTTTCTTGAGAGACACTTTCACAAACAACCCATGATTAGTCATATTACTTTTATACAAAGTGCTATGACTCATTCTAGAATGATATGCTGACATCCTTCTGGCCATGGTATCAGTTGCTTAAGTTGTTCCTGTATTCATGAATATAGGGTTGTTACATGAAAGATTTTAAAGCAGGACACTAAAACCTCAGGGGTTTTGTTGTTTTTCTGAAGATACTTGTAAGTGTAGGTGTTCATTAAATTACTATTCATCATACATTTATGAAGAGAGAAACCAAGCCCTAGAAAATAAAGAATACAACGTATTTCATTTGTAGAATAAGTAACTGGAGGAACAGGGACAGTCTAGCATTCTGTAGAATAACCGAGAGCATCATTAAAGAGCAATGCAAGGATATGGTTTCAATTTAGTCTAAATTCCTCTTCCCTCTTTGTCCCAGAAACTCCCTTAGTTGCCTTGTGATAGAATTCTAATAACAGTGATGAAACCCTCAATCATTTGGGCATGTTGGAACCACAGCTAGATAGAGCAGCTTTGAGTATGTCCTAAACTATCTAAAGGAATTTTGAAACATATTGGCATTCACATCAGAATGTATTATGTACTGGAAAATAACCCTTTTATTGAAGACATCAAAAACAGCAGAAATTATTAACCTTCGTTATTGTAATTGCTACAGAATAAAAAAGACAGATACATCTTATTTTAGCTCAAGGTGGCAACAGTAGGTCTAATTTCACAGATTGAATACACCCCTCATCTTTTCATCATTACTACCAAAATAGCAATGGGATAGATGAGGGAAAAGATCAACTGGTGGAGGGATGGGAGCTTAGGGCAGGCAGAATGATGCCCAGCCAGACCCTGCCAACTCCTTTAGAGAGAAGTTGAAAATAAATCTTGCCTAAAGGCTGCCATGGTGTGACAAAAATAGAGCTCAGGAGTATGCCCTCACTACAGTTCATGATCATTTCTAGATGACTTTTAAAAAGACTCCCAATACTATAATCAACATAATAGCCCACTGCTTTTACTGACAGTTCCAAAACTTGCATGGTCTATTCTATTGTTGAAGAGAACAATCTCTCAATATGACCCCCAACACAACTGATTATGCTATAGTCAGTTTAGTGAGGCATTTACATACAATCTATTATTTTTCTCCCCTCTGCATGATAGAAGCAAAATAGTAATTTTCTGGTGTGACATATACTTGTCAAAGCATTGTCCTCCCTAAAAGGTATAAATGTTTTGAGGTGTAGAGAAAAGGAGGGTGATGATGGCACTAGGTGAGAATTTTGACATGTCATTTTTAATAAATGTTATTTAAGTTCAAGTCTTTAAAAACCAGGATCTTATTTTCCCTTTTTTCAGCCAATGAGATATGGTCTAATCTACACTGTTCTTGAAAGTATCAATTTATATTTTGGGCACTGTGCATATGAGAACCATAAATTGTCACTCATAGTATTTCTATGAATCTATATCTCTCCATGGTAAAAGCAGAGACAACAAGAATATGAACTTTAAGAAAGACCCGCAAGGGGCGCCTGGGTGGCTCAGTTGGTTGGGTGACTGCCTTCGGCTCAGGTCATGATCCTGGAGTCCCGGGATCGAGTCCCGCATCGGGCTCCCTGCTCGGCAGGGA